GGTTGATGGAAGTCAATCGTCATAGTGTCCTGTGACCAGTGGGGTCCCCCAAGGCTCTGTCCTTGGACCTATATTGTTCAACATCTTCATTAATGATGTGGACATTGGAGTCAGAAGTGGACTGGTTAAGTTCACCAATGATACCAAACTCTGGGGTAAAGCATCCACACCTGAGGACAGGAGGACGATCCAGGCTGACCTTGACAGGCTCAGAAAATGGGCGGACGAGAGCCTGATGGTGTGTAATACTGAAAAATGCAAGGTTCTCCACCATGGGAGGAAAAAACTGCAGCATCCTTATGGGCTTGGTAATGCTACTCTGGTTAGCACTACAGCTGAAAGGGACTTGGGGGTCATGATTGGCCACAAGATGAACATGCCGTCCACCTGAACCATCCTTTTTTAGATATGTGGGGTCCTTTTTTAGATATGTGGGGAGCCGGAGGAAAAGCAAGGGCAACATGTCCTCCACCTGAAACATCTCCTTGACCCTGCTCAGTTGGCTTGGCTGTCACCCAAGGCCTTGACCACCCAGCTGGACATGTGCTCCATCCACAGCGTAGCCCATCTACTGTGTAACATCTGGGCTGCCCTCCCATTGGAGGCAGCAGCCACCCTGGATGACCATCTCTGGGAGAGCCAGGTCCCCTGCACTGTGGATGTCCCAAGTGAGGTTTTTCCTGCATTACCAGTCAGCCTGGCCGTGGCCGGCAAGCTGGCCACTGTCCCTGGCACCCTGCTGACACTCCCTGTGCCTCCTGACAGTGACACATGTTGCCCCTTTGCTTTTCTGTCACGTAGAAGTCTATATGCCTGGGTGGTTCATGTCTGCCATGCCCAAGTGTTGGCGGGCTGCCCTGATACACTGTGGTGATGGCGTCTGGGGCCACCAGATTCCCCACCAGCCCACCTGGCATGGTGCACATTGTATAAGCCGCCTACCGCCAAGAAGACTGGTGACCTGCAGTGGCGGTTGCTGCACAGCCTCCTAGCCACTGGCACGTTTGCGTCCCACTTTGACCCAGCTGCCTCGACAGCCTATCCCTTCTGCCCGGGAGGTGTTGAGGAGACCCTCTTTCATGGCTTCCTTGACTGTCCCCACCTGTGGCCGCTCTTTGTCACCCTTGAGCCGCTGCTGCAAGCGCTGGGCAGGAGCTTCTCAGAGACCACCTACATGTGCTCCTACCCATACCGGGAGGCTGAGAAGGAGCCAGTCTGCCTGACCAGCTTCTTACTGGGTCAGGCCAAGCTGGCCATCCTCAAGAGCCACCAAAACTGACTTGCCAGGACCGGCTCAGATGATGTCCAGCGGTTTTCCGCCTCCTAGTTCAGGCGTGTCTCTCGCTGGAGTTTGATTATGCTGTGGTCCAGTGGGCAGTGGGCGGTGTCCGCCTTTGAGACATGCTGGGCCCTTGAGGGAGTGTTGTGCCATGTGGATGATGGCCATCTCAAATATGCACTCTGATGTCATGACCGGTCTGGGCAACTGGGCTGGCTTGGTGTTGAACTATGACTTCCAGCTCATACCGTGTCCTGGGCCCTCACCAGGCTGCTTTTTTCCTTTCTTTTTGTGTGGGAAGCTGAAGGTGTTGTCACGTGTATGATTGGATAGAGCAGGGTATGAATTGTTTATTTATAGTTATGACCATGTGGCCAGCACTCCACCCACATAACTAGCATATAAGACATGACATGGAATGTAGCGAAGGTGTCTGTCACGGTATGATGTGAAGTATGCAATAACATGGTGTTCTTGGTTTGATAGTAATTTGTTTGTTTTTTGCTTTGTAAGCGGCCAACCTTTTTTTATCCCTGAACCCCTGAATAAAGTAGTTAAAAGTCCCTTAGAATTTTGAACTCTATAATTTCAAGGTCATTTTCAGCCAAGTTGACTATTATCTTCACACTAGCTAATTGCCCATCAAGAATGACAAGGGGAGGGGTGGGCAGAGACAGAGCACTGCCACCCACCACCCAGTGCCAGTGTTTTGCCTCCCAGAAATTGTGGGGGGGAAGCTTGCACATGGCAGCCTCCACTGCAACCCACTGTCTTGCACTGCCATGTGCAAGCTGCCCTCCTCCACTCTGCATCCAGGCCTGCACACCCCCTCCCACATCCTGCTGCTCCATGTCTGGCCCTATGCAACACCCACCCTCTGCTGCTCCATGCCCAGAGATGGATTAATTTGTACTGATGTCCTGGACAAACACATAGCCCCCTCCCCCCAGGAACTGGACAGTGGGGTGGGGCAGAGCCCCTTCTCATCCTGGTGCTTGTGGGGAGGCTGGGGAGACCCTACCAGGCTGGGGATGGGGGGGCACATGCCTGCCTCTTCTCACTGCTCCCTTCCCCCCATCCCGCTATGGCCAAACATACACACACACAGGCACATACATGCAGGCATGCACACAAATGGGTGCACACTGTCACTCTGCACATGGACACACAGACATAGACATACTCTTCCTGCCAGGAACACAGACATACACATGCAGATGGGCACGTTCACTCACTCACTCACTCACTCTCTGCACATGGACATACAGACACAAACATGCTCTCCTTTCTGCCATGAACACATGTGTATACACACACACACATGGATCCATGCACGCACACATAGATATATGCACACACACACAGATGGGTACACACACTACTCACTCTACTCACTCAGTCTCTGTACATGGACATATGGACACAAACACCATCTCCCTCCAGCCATTAACACAGACACATGCACAAACCCCGGTACGCACACACAGACACATGCATTCACACATGCAGATGGGCACATACTCTACTCACTTGTTCTGCACATGGACACACAGAGACAAACACTCTTCCTCTTGCCATGAACAGACACACTCACGTACACATACGTATACATGCATGCATGTGCACACAGACATGCATGTATGCAAACACACACACATGCAGATACATGTGCAGTCTACTCACTCACTCTGTGCACATAGACAGACACAAACACACTCTCCCTTCTGTCATGAACACAGATGCATGCGCACACATGCACGCATGCGCATGAATGCACACAGATGGGTGCGCACTCTACTCACTCTGCAAATGGACACATGAACCCAAACACAGGCTACCTGCCATGAACAGGTGCACACATGCATGTTCACAGACACACACATAAATGTGCACACACATGCACACACAGAAGCAGATGCATATAGATAGCTTTATATGCACACACAGACACACAACTGCACACAGATAAGCACTGATGCACAGAAATGTGCACACATGCAGTCACATGCAGACACAGACACGTGCATGCACACACACACACACACAGCCACATACTTTCCCCTCCAAGGACCTCC